GTTTCCAAAAAGAAGGACAGTTCCTTAAAGGTAAAAGTCTTTATTATATCTCTCAGTTAGTATGCCCGATGTGACTGGTCAATTTAGTAGGCTGTATTCCACTGTACTATCTGTTAAAATTTAAAGCTGTTTTTGTTGCCAAAATGTTTCGTAATTTATTGCCAAGTATGCTTAATCTTTTTAGCAAGTAAAAGTTTAAAACTTTCTGTCATTTCTTAAATTGTGTATTAAAACCTGTTAATGACTGAAGAGTCACTTAACAATGATTTCAAATTCACTCGTTTTGCTTTCAACATGTGTCGAAAATTTGAAGCCGTTCCGTGTGAATAGGAACAGTTTCCAAACCTGTCAGACACACAGTAGAGATATAATAAATATCTTACTAACCTTGTTTTCTTGGTCCGTACTGTAAGTTATGAATCCTTATTTCTCCCTCATCAATTTATGGCCTGTGCACTTCATGCTTGGGCCATAAATCAATGGGGATAAAACTTGGTCCATAACTTACAGTATGGCCCTCAACCTCACTAAGTAATTACAAGGTATATAAATTTCGTAGAATTATAAGTGCAGAAGTATTTTGATTTGCCATGGATGGATGCTATTCAACTGCAAGTTACCCCCAGTATTACACTGTTCAGTTGAGATGCTTTGTCACGACCTATTAGTATACCACCCCTGGGTGGAGTAACACAGTGCGAGTGTTGTATTTTACATATGAAAAAGCATAAAGATACCAAAGGCCAGACTTCCAATCTGGATCTTACAATCCAGAGCCCTGCACACTCACTCTGTCAGTAACTGACTTTGCCTCCCCCAGACAGGGACTCTAAGAGTTTTATTTGTTGGAGATCCTGCTGTATTTGGCTSTAATAGAAGCAGCAAGAACCTTGCACATTGGTCGTTGGAAAGAAGTTATAAGACAAAGTCATATGAAGCACATACAAGAGATATAGGACCATATAGAAAATGATTGAAGGGAACAATGCAGTATCTGCTCACCGAATATGGAGTCTCTCCCAGGCTATAATTACTGATCTGTAGTTTTGCTACACTAGTTGT